CTTTTAAGAATAACTGAGATCAGATTCAGTTACTGAGCACTATTTAACACATGAATATTTGCAAATGAAGACTATTCTTATGCAGCTTTAACATATGTCTTCTAAAACCCTCAGAAAAATAGTATTGAGAAATTGTTGACCGGGTGGTGGTGGTGCACACCTTTAATCCCAGCACTCTGGAAGCAGAGCCAGGTGGATCTCCGTGAGTTAAGGCCAGCCTGGTTGACAACACGCGATCCAGGACAGGCACCAAAACTACACAGGGAAACCCTGTCTTGAAAAAAGAAAAGAAAGAAAGAAATTTTTGACAAGGTATGTTTATAAGAATAAATATTCCTCTCTATAACTCCCTGTCCTTATGAGACCCATAAATAAATCAATAAATAAAGTGACAGTGTAGGGCCTAGTACTTCCCTAAGCTTGGCATGTTTAGGACTCTATGACCTTTTCATGGTCAAAGCTGTTCAATAATAATGTCAAGATTTTATGTACCTTTGTAAATTGCATTGTTTCATGGTGTCTAATACTATCGTCCAAAGCATATTTGACCAACTGAACTACTGAATATAGAAACAGAAGAGAATCGAGCTCTCTTCTCTCCAGCAAGACACGAAAGGGATTTGTAGAATGTGAAATAATACTTTTCTTCTCCCTCACTGTTTTGGTTTTGGATATTAATTGTCTTTCATGAAAACACATTGCTGATATTAATCCAGTGGTTTATTATCGTTGTAAATGAATTCAATAGCTATTGAAAACATATCTCTGGTTTAATTTCTAGCATAGTAAATATTGATAGATGCAACCTACATTGTCTTTGGGCTGTTCATCTTTTTTAAGACCATAGATTTCCTGGGAGCAAAACCTTGGAAGATTGTTTAATGACACAAATGGCTGGGAATGTTCCTGTCAATCTGGAGATATTTTCAAATTCAGATACTTTTTTCTAAACAGTGTTGCAAAAAGACGTCCTAGATGACTCAGAGGGGGAATATTCCCTGTAGAGGCTTGTAGGTTAGTTATCAGTTTTCTGCACCTGGCCTTGCTTCCCCTGAGGTCATCTTCAGCTCCCCCTCTAGCTACCTTGGAGGCAGGAGAAGCTGCAGATGGGGAGCTCTTGGGGCTCTTGGAAAGGCTTACCTAAGGTCCTAAGCCTCTCAAAGCTTCTTCAGTGTTAGCAAGCCTTCCAAAGAAGTCCCACCATCACCATCTCCCTATCTAAAACTGATCGGATTTGATGAATGGAGTGAAAGCAGTCATTTCAACAGACATATCTGATTTCTATTGCATAAGAATTATCTGGGGTGCATTCTAAATGTAGAGAGATTCCCAGACCCCACCTTTGACCTAAAGAATCCATGACACAGAGATTAAAGCAAACAGGCTCCTCCCGGATTCTTTTTTTTTTTTTAATTTTATTTATTTTATTTTACAATACCATTCAGTTCTACATATCAGCCACGGGTTCCCCTATTCTCCCCCCTCCCACCCTTTCCCCTTACCCCCAGCTCACCCCTGATTCCCACCTCCTCCAGTGCAAATCCTCCCCCGAGGACTGCGATCAACCTGGTAGACTCAGTCCAGGCAGGTCTAGTCCCTTCCTCCCAGACTGAGCCAAGTGTCCCTGCATAAGCTCCAGGTTTCAAACAGCCAACTCATGCTCCACAGTATACAAAGAACTCAAGAAACTAGACATCAAAATACTGAACAGTCCTCCAGGATTCTTGATGAGCAGTGTCTCCAGGAGACCACAGTCAGTACACAGAATTACAGGGAGGGCTGTGGCCAAGACAGCCTCTCATACCTGCTTTGACCCCAGCTCTGGGGGAGAGCTCACCTAAGCAAAATCCAGAACAAAGGGACCTAGTCCAGGAGCTAGAGAGCCTTGGGAGAGTCTTTCACAGGGATAGTGACAGATGGAAGAAAAGAACATGAAACGGAGGTAAAGAAATGAAAGAAATCCCAAGCCAATAGGAAAGTTCCAGAAGTGAGGGGTCTGGAGCGCAAGACTACCAATACTTCTGACCCAAGATTTTACTGAGAGCCATTGCTAAGCTCACTATAGATTGGGTAAATATGCCAAAGTCCAGCATTAGTGAAGATTCCAGGGAATCTTCAGATAACAGAGGGAAAACCTGAAAGCCAGAGGAGAAACTAAATAAACACAACCTACAATGATATGTGAGTAAGCACAGATGGGGCCATGGGAGAACTCGGATCTAAGATCTGCAGTGAAGAACATCCTTACCTCAGACAATGCTCAGAGGCAGAACTCCTGTGTGGGTGTACCCTCCTCTCCTGACCTGGCAGTTTAGGAGGCAGAGAGCTGGAGGGAGACATCTCTGGGTCTGATCCTTCACCAAGTACCACCCATCACTGAGCAACTTACAAATCTAAACAACAACAAAAACCAACTCAGCCAGGAGCAATCTTTATAACTCTCTTCTTTGACAGGCCACAGATTAGTCAGTGGTGTTTGATGGAAAAGACCAAGGCATAGCCAGGGGCTAAGTGCAAAACCTCCCTCCTCTCTGGTTTATCTAACAGTAAGTTGCTTTCAAAGAAGAGTTTGAGGTGGTAGCTCTGTTCCTCGGTTCCCGAGCTCACTGCGAGTTATAGAGCATTCACATACCGGCAGATTTAAAGCTAACACTAATACATTTCAGCAAAGGCCTAATGAATTTGAGCGAGGTGGTAAACAGGGTAAAATTTAATTTACCTAGCTGACTTTTGGTCGCCAAAATATTTTCAACTTTCACTTATTTTTATTGCACAAACAGGATTAGGGTGTTCAAGCGAGTCTTACGCAGGTTTTGCAACACATTTACAAGTACAGATCTGCATGGCAAAGAGCACTTTCAGCACCATGGGTGTTTGATGAAGCAGAGGAAGGAGGGACTCTGCCAAGCCCTTATCGAGTCCCCACCCCAACTCACCCCACCCCCAACGTCGGGTTCTGAAGGTGAGAAGGAAAAGAAAGAAATACACCATGCAGTTTTCAGAAGCTAGACTCTGGTATCAAGCTGCAAGTCCTTTTTCACTGGTCATTAAAAGGGCTGCAGTTCATTTTTGGAAGCTTGTGAGACGCTTTCCACTAGGTCTAACCTGTTTAAGAAATGACCTTCCTGATGCTTTCAACGGTAGCTCTTCTGCAAGAATGACGGCACATCTTCTACACACTTTTTCTCTCTGCAAATCAATACTTACTGAACTTTATGTATTTGTAAAGGCATCTGCTATTTCATAAAATAATGCAGCATCAGCTAACTGGTTGGTTGGAACCATTAGCGTCTTACTTTATCCTTTGTATCTGTTACCTCAAAGGCCCATCATGGGTGGACACTGAGAAGCAGAGGTAGGGATGTGTGCCGGGGCTTTCCTTGAGAGCCTGCTTGAATCTGAAGGTGACTTTTGTGAATGAAGCGCTCTCCAGATCATGTGCTGAAGGTGAGGCCCCATAGTATAGTGGGACCACAGCCCGTGTAAGATGCGTGGGAGAGCACGGGTGCCTGGAACAACCCCCCCCCCCCCCCCCGCCCCGCCCACCCGCCACTGCTCTGCCCTGTGATCTGAGGATGAGGGAGAAATGGATTCTGTGACCTGTCACCAAGAATTAATCCTTGTTTGCTCTGAACTGAATTGCCTTTACTGTGTATTTGCATTTGATATATATTTTTACATAATGCATTTGTAAAGCGGGGAAATATCCCCTCTACCCACCTGTTCCTCTAAGTTCCTGGGTGGAATCTAGGAACCGAGTCACTAGAAGGCTGGTTATCAAGAGAAAGCACACAAGCTTTATTAAATTTGCATGTACATGAATATCTTCTCAGGAGAATGAAAGTTGAAAAGACATAAAGACTTGTCCCTTTTATACTTTGAAACAAAGACTGATAAATTTATGAAGGTTTGACAGGATAAATGGGTCTGTGGGTAGAGTTGTAAATTTTAGGGACTTCACGGAAGCTGGTGGGAGATAGGGGTTACTTCATCTGGCTGACTTATGACTTATGACTTCATGACAGTTCCAAGCTGTAGTCATTGGTAATAAAGGCCACTTTCCCATTTTGATACAGGGGGACATGCCTCCCAAAAGAATCTTGCTTGCTCCATGGAAATGGCCCTTTTAGACATTATAGTTGAAGTGACTTCACTCTAATTTAGTCACTTAAATATCTATGGAATACCGACCCTGCTACGTGATCTGTTAATTTTCTAACATGCACATTTGATTCATAGAGTGGTCTAGACCCATGGTTACAGCTACATCTACGCTGCCTGTGTGCATTTAATTTACTTATTTGCCTATTTGTGGTTTCATAATTGGCTAGAGGGTAAAAACTGTCATGCCAATTAACTTACCTTTGAATTCTTAGACCTCATAGGCAGAAGGAAATCAATATATGTTGAAAGAGTGTTAAATTGTAGCGACTTCCACATGGAATTGGAGCAAATTTTAAGTAAAGCATATATGCCATCAATCTAAAATTTAAAGTATCAGGGAAAACCTTTCAGAAGAAATAGAGAAGTTAAGACACAGCTGGTATAAACTGGTATGTAAATTAATTAGACATTGAATTCCTTGCAAGGCAGGGTAAGGAAAAATCTGCCTGCATATCCTGGGCTAGATCTGGTGATAATGGTTCTAGATTTTAATATATTTGGGTTACTAATAAATAGTTTATGACTGTGTAATTTCACTATATAACTTTTCTATTTATAATTATGTATCTTGGAATAACTAATACTGGTACCACAGACAAAATAATTTTTGTTTTTATATACACCAGGTACGTAAGATAAACATATCAAAGACTCAAGAAAATAAAAGTCTATCTTATTTTAAAGTGAAAATTTCACTTATATACAAAATCGATTGGGTTATTTACTTCCTTGTTTGAGATCTTAAACTTTACATCCCAAATGGACCTGAAGCAAAGCAAAAGCCTACCTCCACCTTCTACCAATGAAATCAACTTACAAACAAAATCACAGTACCTGGTGTGGTTGAGCAGGCTGATACCTTTAGGAAAGCGTGGGTCCTCTGCACAATCTCCCTCGAGCGGTGATGTAGAATAAGACCTGAGTGAATAGAACCCAAACTCAGCATTTCAGTGAACTAAAAGTTCCAGTTGCTGGTTAAGAACTGGTGGGTAGGTTCTGCTGTGGTTTCTTTTGGGGTTTGTTGGTGTTGCTGGGGATTAACCCCAGGGCTCAGGCATGCCAGACAAGGCTATCACTCTATCACTGAGCTACATCTCCTGCTCTGACACTCCACTTTTTAATCATCTGTCCTTGAACCTCTGAAATGTGTCTTGGTGGGCTCCAACCTCATTTAATCCCACAGAAGAACCAACCATATGAAACCTGTTTCTTAACCAGCCAAAAACGAAGACCATTATACCTCTCCCATAAAAATGGATGCAAACAAGTGAGATTCTCTATGTGGGTTATGCAGTAAGAGTACAAAGTTTGAATCCTCATCCTATAGATTTCAGTGTGAACATCACTGAAATCTGGGTTGGAAAGAGACGTTTTCTTATAATCACACCCAAGTGATTAGTTGAATCCATGCAGGTGTGACAAATGACATTAGCTGCTGAGATCCACTTAATTTTTTGTTTTTGCTTTGTAAATGTTTATAATTTTAAAAGTCTACTGAGTTCAGTGGCTGAAATAAATCTGTATTGTAAGACTTATCAATCAACTTGATATCATTTTTTAAAAGCTTTCTTTCAATAAGGAGCACAAACTCATGGGGACTATCTATGGATTCAATATCCAGCTATATGTAATCATCACAGAAGATAGGTCTATGTGTCCTACTTCGTTTTCCAGAATATTCTTTCATTGCCTTTGTTTGCATTTTGTCTGAGTAGGTTAATGGTTTACATGATTATGCCATGCTTTTGAGGTTTTCTGAAAATAAAAATGTAGGTATAGTTATACTTTTAAGCCGTCTGGTGGGACCATTCTCAAAAGCAAACCAAAGCCTTGCTTCCCACTAACTTTTTCGGTGGCTGCACCAGCATGTTTAAAAGCAATCAATCAGCAGCAACCAGGTTTCAGATTAGGCGTGAAGCTAAGACAAGTCAGTGAGGCAACTGGAAGAGAACAGTTGGCTTCAGATGACATGAACAAAAACTTTCTAAGTCAGTGCTTCTCAGCCTTCCTAATGCTGTGACCCTTTAATACAGTTCCTTATACTGTGGTGACCCCCAACCAGAAAATTATTTCATTGCTACTTCATAACTGTAATTGTGCTACTGTTATGAATCATAATGTAAATATCTGATGTGCAGGATATCTGGTATGAGAGCCTGGGGGTCGCGACCCACAGGTTGAGAACTGCTCTTTTAAGTGAAGGCAAACGCTATGAGTCATGCACCCATTCTGTCTATAATTCACACTTAAAGCAGTCCAGTGGCAGCTGGAGGGAGGCTCTAAGAGGAGCAAGCTCTCCACTCCTGGGGTGCCCTGGGGTGCCCTGATGACATGCTCAAAGCAGAGGAGCTGCTGGCGAGATGATGGAGCCATCAATGAGGAAGAAGGCTTCAAGAACTTGAGAGTTTGTAATACCAAGAGGGTGAAGGAATGAAAACTTACCCTGCTGTGATGAAATCTAAATGGACCCGACCTCTGTTGGAAGAGTAAGTCATGAGACCTGTGCACTTTGAGCTATGCATCCTGACCAGGGCTCTTTCCTTCCAGGGCTCCCACTGCCTCTTTCTTACTCATTCCTTCTACAAGACATGGAGAAATGGGCCAATATTCCACTGAGCTGGCAGTTTCTTCCAACTAGGGGGTAGCAACTAGGCTTGCCAAGGTTTCTGTTTTGTTTTGTTTTGTTTTTTTAACATTTGGTATTTTATTTTCCTTCATCTGTTTGCTGATGTCCGACAAAGAACCTACTTTCTTTCATAAAAAAAAAAATAAAATCTTACCCCAAATGTATTTCTTTCTGCATGTTTAAATAAAGTGAGTGCCCTCAGGAGTTGGTTCCCTTCACGTGCGTGTAAAGGAGAGATTAATACCAGTGCTTAAGCATGCTTACAGCCTATTGCCAGGGTGTGTGATGCAGATTTATATTTCTTAATTGGAGTTATTAATCTTGATACTCTGTAAGTCACAAAGGGTATTTCTTTGGCAATAGCAAAGGGAAAAAATCATTTACAGTGTTTACAAGTCTCAGCCTCATTCATAAAGATCACACGCTTATGGATGGCTAATAGTCCTAAAAAGCCATCTCATTACAAGTGGTACTCATCAGTTATCAACATATCAACTATGAGAATGCGTGTATGTGTGTGTGTGTGTGTGTGTGTGTGTGTGTGTGTCCACGTGTGTTTCTAGAAGTCACTGAAGTGCAAATCTTAAAGGATGAATACATTATCAAAGTATTCAATCATTAGTATGGTAGATTCAGAAATATTCAAATCATTCTGCTCTTTTTTCAGCCTCTATAAAAAATCATAAACATGGCTTGTGGCCAATGGATGTGAGAACAAATTAAACATGCCACTTGTCGTCAAAGGCAGAAAAGACTTTGAATGATTCTCTAGACATTCTGGATGTACAAAGATGACCAAAGTGTTCCAGGGTGCTGAGATGGATGCTGCCTCCATGGCAACCACATCGTCAAGCAGTATCTCCAAAGCATATAGTGAACAATACGAGTAAGAAACTAACCTTAACTATATGAAAAGCTTGAAATGTGGGAGATGTTTGTTACCACAGCAAAGCCTAGCCTGTGCTGACTAATACAGCCACAAGTTAACAGTGGCTTTCAAGTGTTGAAAGCTAACCAAAAATCTATAGTTAAACTCTTCCACCATTCCAGTCTTTAAAAGCCCTTAACAGGATATATTTAGGATCAGCAAACTTATTTTATAAAGGTCAGACAATGGCACTTTAGGGTCTGTGGGTCTGATACTTTGCCACAACTTCTCATCTCTGACTTAAGAGATTGCAAAGAGCCTTGGTAATTTGTAATTAGCTAACAGCATCTGATATTCTCATAGTACTATGCTGTGGGATGTTAATGTATGTCCTGTGGGAGCCCTTCTTGGGTTCCTTGTGGTGTTACCCAGCAGGTTTGCATAGAGGATGATTAGGACCATGGGCCTGAGTGCAGGTGTCTGAGATGGTCTGCACTTGGCTGTACTGGGGGATGGTCTGTATGTCAAGTTGCTCTGATTGGTCAATAAATAAAACCTGATTGGTCGTGGCTAGGCAGGAAGTATAGGCGGGACTAACAGAGAGGAGAAATAAAAGAACAGGAAGGCAGGGAGAGACGCTGCAGCCGCCGCCATGACCAGCAGCATGTGAAGACGCCGGTAAGCCACCAGCCACATGGCAAGGTATAGATGTATGGAAATGGATTAATTTAAGCTATAAGAACAGTTAGCAAGAAGTCTGCCACGGCCATACAGTTTGTAAGCAATATAAGTCTCTGTGTTTACTTGGTTGGGTCTGAGTGGCTGTGGGACTGGTGGGTGACAGAGATTTGTCCTGACTGTGGGCAAGGCCGGAAAACTCTAGCTACAGTACTATGTCTGAATAATATTTAAAAATTGTATTTAAATCAGGAAATGGACAGAATTTGTGCATGGATCATGGATCCCTGACCTCTGTCACATAGCACTTACTATTAAATGTAGTAACACAGTGATTTGTTTCTCGGGGCTCTGTTTTCAAAGTACTACTAGATAGTTTGCTATGGCATTTTATTTTTCTAATTCCCTCATCTGGAGGCCAGAAACCCACTTTCAAGTCCTTGGCAGAGGTGATTTCTTCCAAAGGCTCTAGAGGTCAGTCTGATCCATGCCCTGCTAAGCATCTCTTGGCATCCCTTGGCTGGTGGCAGTATCACTCCAATCTCTCCTTCTCACCACGCTGTAGACAGATGCTCTACTGCCAGCCCTCTGATTACCACTTATTTTCAGTCTCCAAAGTTATACAGGCTGGTCTTAAACTTACTCTGTATCCAAGGCAGGCCTTGAATTTGCCTTTCTCCTGCCTTAACTGAGTATGTTGGATTCAGACTTGTACCATGTTGACTGGCTTCCCTCCTCTTCTTAAAGAATCCAGACTACTGGATGAAAAGTCTACCTCACTCACTTCTGGCCTCAACTAACTACATCAGCAATGACACTATTTCCAAATGAGGTCCCATTTTGAGACACTGAAGGCTAGAATTTCTACAAGTCCTTTGGGGCATAAAATTTAATCTGTCGCCATTGACATCTTTCTTTCTTTCATGTTGGGAATGGGAACCATGGATTCATACATGCTAAGCAAGCATACTGAACCTCTAAGCCCACCCCCAACACTTAGCTTCTTAAACAGGAGATTTCATTTAGTAAATCTCTGATAGTATAAGTGATTTTCATATAAGTCCATAGGCCTTGTCTTTTCAAGACAAGGACAATTCATCAGTTTTCTTGATAAGATTAAAACTTCAGTGTCTAAAAGATCAGTTAAATGAAAAAACCATGCTCATAATTAAAATAAATAAACATCACTTTGCAAGGCACATTTACGATTCCATATTATTGTTCAGGATCCTACCTCCTCCAAATCATTGATTGATGCTTTAGATGAGAAAATGAGATTTGATTTACATATGTTATTTCTTGAGACTGTTATTAAAGCACAGCATTGATGAAATGATTATTCTCTAGCGTCTGCATGTAGACATCTATAAGAATTTGTTGAAAGGAAAAACCCACAATTTCCTTGACAGATTTTGCAATCTTAAATTCTGAAAAGGCAGGCAAGTAATAGAACTACCTAGTTTAGCCAAGGCCTATGGGGTGGTCAGAAGACAGGAACACCAAACCTCAGTGAGAAGGGGGAGGCACCTGAGCTGAGTTCACAAAGGGTGGCTGAGGACTGGAGGGAACACAGGGGACAAGTGACATAAGCCGAGGCAGGAAACCATGTAGATACATGAGGGGAAGCTGCAGCTATTTCATTTGAACTAAAACCATCTTCCCACAGGGAGGAGGCAGGCTCCTAAAGCTCAGGAAGCTAGGAGAACGTAAGGCTCGGGAAGCTCCCGTAGTTACATGATTCTCAAG